CAATTTCCAGCATTTTTGCCGAATGGGCGGAACTTGCCACAAGGGAGCGGAGCTGCCCGCTCACCTGTATTTTTATATTCATAATTCACGCATGGATGCATGCATATATACATGCAGCTGGGCGAAGGAAGTGCACGTAAACATTTCGTCAACAGGGACATGAAAAAAGCTTGTTGTCAATGTGTCAAGCAAACAACTATCTTTCAATAAAATCAAAACCGTGACGTTCAATATCAACTAACGGATAGCTACGTAACGGCAAAGATGTGTGCCTCATGAATCAAAAGTTTTTTTCTAGAAGAAAGTTTTACGTCGACAAAGCTTCATATTGGATTTATTACTCACGCTTCTGGTGACCGTATTCCATTTATTTATACGATAATCCCATATGCTGAAAATTTGACAAATTTTAGAAACAAGCCGAGAAAATACGATGGTTCTTTTCGGCTAAAAAAAGCTAACGTTTTTTCGAATATAACATCAAATGAAATTTTCTAAAAAGCAATGCACATGCAGCATGTGATTTACCCCAGGAAACCAAAGTTTGTAAAAGGAGTGACAATAGATGCTCTAGCTAGTTGAGGTCTAAAGCACCGCGGTGTTTATTCATACTATTGAATGCCAAAAATTGACTAGAATTTTACAAAACGCCTTTATCGCTATCTCTATTGAAAATCTAACTTGACAAGGTCATTTTTATAGCGGATGTGAGTCGCAGAAAAAGATTCTCATAGGCCATTTATTGTACTCGGGCAAAAGATCTTCAAAATGAAATCTCACTGAAAGCAGCACAAAACGCAATTTTATCCCCTATAGTCTCTTCCGATTTTTTGTGGCGAGAGAATCTTCAATTTTTGGTCACCTAGACTTATGCACTCCTGAAAACAAGTACTTCGTTGAACTTTCCAAGTCCTTTGTGAATGTTCTCCTAAACGAAAAGTAATGAAAAATTCGGAGAGAAATTGAGATCAGGAAACTCCTTGGATAGCTTCAACATTTCTAAGAAATAAAGACAACAGTCCAATTTCTGGGAGCATAAAAATCGTGTTCTAAGACCATTCTGAAGGAGTTCCAGCAAATTACCTAGTTCCAAAAAGAAGTATATAATCAAGATAAAGATTCACATTTTCAGCAGTTTTCCTGCGATTTGGCCTAAGGAGGGAATTACAAGAATCAATTGAAGGTGCTACTGTGATCTTTTGTAAATACCACACTAACACTTTCAGAGCATTACAAATCGTACTTAACTACCAAACACGTACTATTGCAGATTAGCAAGAATTTCATTTGGATAATATTTTCTGGCTCTTATAATCGTTCTTTGTTGGTTGAGTCGTTTAGTCCTATAAACCAACGAGAATAAAAAGGAATTTTCTTGCTAACATTCAAGTCAAGTTTGTGAACATAGCACTAGCGTATGTTACGTAAGGCAGATTTAAGGATATCAACTCTTGTTTTTTTTTTGGATGATTCTAAAGATGATTCAGATATAAATGAGGACGAGCACTGCTCCATTTTGAAAACATCACCATTATTCCCACGATGGAGGGATTATGTCAACAAAATTCTTCCAGATTTAGAAAACAAACAGGTCTTGTTTCATAAACAAAACCCACGATTGCCATTTCGACTTGCAAAGAAAAGAGATGTTATCCCGGAAGAACTTAGACGCCGCGATGTAGAATGAATTTAGCGGAGTTTGCAACGATATTCTTCTTGCAAGCTAGCCATGAAGAAGTCGGGAGTTGTGTAAGGATTCTTTACGTGCCAAAGCGAATTGCACCAATTTCCCGTAAATATGTGCACTTCAAAATCTATAGACACTAGGCATCTTTCAATGTACAGAAAATTTCATGAAAAGTGTACAGTGCACACTGTTTGATCGTTTTTAACTATCCCACTTCGATGTTTTCCACTATCTTTAAGTATAAGGCGGCAGAGCTGGCTTTAAGCCTCGAGCAGAGTTCACGCGATTTCATCGTCGCGATTGATCGCGACAAGACAACTGTAACAACTCATTTCATGCCAATCTTTTTGCATTTCGGTTGTGATAGTTTTCCAACACGATTAATCGTGACTAACTATCACAACCGAAATACAAAAGATCCATGCAATAAACTCGTAACACTTGTCTTGTAGAAATCGCGACGATGAAATCACGTAAACTCTTTCCGAGGCCTGAAGGGCAGAGTCCATTCAAAATTCGACACCCAGATTAGCATATTGTTGTCAAGCGGGCCTCAGATGTATCCGATTTGCGTTTGTCAGATCCTTTGATGTGGCCTCTAAAAGGAGATACGGGTCCGTGATATGTATCACAAACCGCCTCTGGTATCGCAATTTTCCTCATGAAGACGAGTACTCACGCAAGTGCTGCAACTGCACCCATGCAGTTGCAGCACCGTCCCAGCTAGCGAGTCGAGGGGATGAACAACCCGAAACCCCTTGTAACAAGGTCCCCAGGATTCGGTTTTTTTTCAAGGACTTTGGACAGTTTGAACCTTATAACTATAATCAAGGTCTCGCAAAGGCCTTTTAATGACAAAAACATAAATTTTGGGTGGACGCTGTTTTTAACTCACAATATGGAACGAATCACCGATCTTCTCACTGTGGGATTACGGTAGCAAATTCCAGCAAGCTATTGTGAAATAGCATCTGATAGATGTCTTCCAAAAAATCATCGGTGGCGAGCTTTGGAAAAACAGATGTTACGGTTTGCCATAATCACAGGGTGTTTTAAAAGTTTCTGGTCTCAAACAGTTCAATTGCAAATCCTAACACGATTTTCGCTGAATGTGTTCGCTAAACTTAAGGACCACTTCAACATGAAAAATAGTTTGCTTTTAATTTTGCTTTAAAATATTAGATCGGTGCAAAAGTTCGTTTTTTAGACCCATACTCAAACAAATCAACAATAATGAACAACAACAATAATGATAGACAAACAATTTGAACAGTGTTCGGTGCAAAACTTCTTCCTCCTTTCAAAAGTCATGTTCTAGATTGAATTCCTTTGACGTACGCTCAAATAATCGTCAGAATCTGCAATCCAGGTTTTTAGCGATCGTGAGTTTAGCTATTTTTTAAAGAGTTCAATTTAACTGTTGGACTAGCTTTAATACAGTTAAATAGAATGCAACACAATGTTTTTTTGGGTTTTTTAGCTGACTTCTCAAAGTTTTTGAAAATAATTTTCTGATGTTATCAAATTCCATATTTGGGCATCCCAATCCCCACAGCACAATAAAGAGTGAGCACGCGCGCAGCTTTCGATGTAGCTTTTTCTCCTCTTTCTGATAGATTTCTTTAGTCCCTGATTTGTCCAATATTCGATGATATACAAATATTGGTTTCCAGACTCGTCCCAGGCTGTACCAATTCGGAATCTAATAAACCGCTAAACACTCAGTTGCTTGCTAAAATTAGCGTCAAGTCATAAGCTTTCCTGAAATCATCAAAATGCGAACATTTATCAGTGTTTGAAGCGTATTTCACAACTTCGCAAAGGAAAGCCTTTTAAAAAATATTTTAGAAATATTGAAAAGCTAATCGAAGAGGCGAAATTAGTTCATTGTTTTGCATTTTGTTTATTCACAAAAGTTGAAAATGAAAAATGGAAATTCTGAGCAATAGCTAAACTCAGGATGGGCAAAAACCATGGGCTGGAGATTCTCACGGTTATTTGAGAGGGTATCAAAGAAATGTAGGAGCCCGTCATGCTTCGCCGAGAAATGCCTAAAAGCGATCGAAAAGCTTCAAAAATCCCGAATAAGTTCCAAAAGCCCGAAAGAGCCAGAATGCGGAAACGAACTTTGGTAGAATTGTGACATTATTTTGATGTGCAGACGACAGAAAATGAACCAAAAAGAGTTCGTTGAGGGATAAACACACATACCTTAGCGCCAAAACGTGCGCGGAAGGGGGCATTTTGGCTCTTTCTGGCACTTTCGGGATTTTTTGGGATTTTTGGGCGCTTTTAAGCTTTTTTGGGCTTTTTTAAGCGCTTTTGGACTTTCTTCGGCACTTTTAAACTTTTCTTGGCGAAGTATGACGGGTCCCTAACAAAAACGTAACCATAAGAAAGAGAAAGAAACTCTGCATCGAATATTCGGAAAGCTTGTCTACTACCATTCTAAGTGGCATGAGAGTGGATCTGAAAAACGGCACGACTTTCGGACTGACCTAATACTTTGAGATTTATAAGTAACCAATTTTTTCAGCTTTCTTAGATGAGGAAATATGCGTTGTCTGGTTTGTTCTACTTTCAACGTTGGAAAACGGAATGAGTTTCCGTTTTGTTGATACAAAAAATCCTAAGTATGTATTACGGTGGACAGTGAAGAATGGGACAGCTTGATTTTATACACTTTGAGATTTTTTGTTTCGGTCAACAGCAAGCAGGCTGCAACTTAAACATCACTTACGTAAGCGATCTTCGCTTATTATTCTGATGAAGCGTTAACGCTCCTCTCCCACAACCCTACGCGTGGCGCCGTAAAGAACGCGAACAGGGTTTTTTAAACATTTCTTAATCTTGCGCTGCTATACCTTGAAGTCATAAAGCAAGTGAAATACTACTCGAAAGAGCTCTATGCTCTCTCGAATAACATATTGATTATTTAGGATTTCTTCTTATTTCCAGATGGAAAATTTTTTGGCGCAATAATAAGCAAAAAATCATATTTCAATCTGTAATTTTCGAAGATCTGAAATAATCTGAAATAATCTGAAATAAACTGTGTTTCTTTGGACAGAGATGATTTACCAACACATGTTATCTATGTTTATTTCTTCGCAATTGATTGATTTTTAGATAATTTACAAAAACAATCGTTCCAAAACACGTGCAAGCCCTAATGTCTGTGAAAGTTCAAAGGATAGTAGCATCATGGTTGACATTTCAAAACAGCGTGTATGGCATTTGTATGTATGGTAGATGCATTAACCCGTTATCAAGCTTAATATTGCAATAATAATCTACTTCTAAGTCTCCTGCTTTATACAGGTTTGACGGATCTTATCGCTGTGGCTTCAGTAACTGTTCGCACTTGACGTCGACCAAAAGTTACCAAAGCGCTGGAACGGACTTGCTGGTTCCATAGAAGCAGAACAGTAGGATTTATTGACACGTTGATTGTTCCTGAAGCACAACCAAAGTTAGTAAAGCAGACAGAGTAGATACAATACTAGGGCTTTTTAGAAGACAAGATCTATGAAGGGTTATGTTCAGAACATTGTACAAAAATGACACGATTGGGATAACAAATAAAAGTTCTCGCCAAAGGTCCCAGCACGTCTTCAATCATAGTCAATTTGCGAAAGTGGACGCATGATGCGGTGTTGAGTATGCATACTCGAGATCAGGAAGTCAAGAATTAAATTTAATTTCGTCAAAGAATCTCTTTGTTGGGACAAACCACAAAATTTGTAAGCTAGTAAAGCATTTGTACACCTTCAAGGGCCTCCAAAAGCTTTGAAAATATGATTACCAATTTCATTCTGACGCAAGAGACTGTTTTAGCAGAAGTAGGGAATCTTCATAGGCACATATAGAACGCAACAATAAAACCTGGTAAACACATAAGAAGAGTTCACAATTGTCATTTTAAATGTGATGCCTCGAATGTGTGCCTTTGTCAAACATCCCTCGATGCTTGAAGATAAGTGCAACATCTGCTTCAGAACAGAAAACGAAATTTCCCATTTGATGCCTAAGCGCCACCTATTTCTCTTGGAAATTTTGAGGTATTACGATCAATCTCTTTCTGTAAGCGAATGGTTGAATGAAAGAAAGCTGAGGTTCTAAGATGTTTTCAATGTTATCCCGTTTCTGTTGGCAACTGTTTGTATGATATAAAAGTGACAGATAGACTTTAAGGGTTTGCAGGCAAAAAGAATCGAACTCTTTAGAATGTCTACATACTTACCGCTGCGCTATGCGTTCAACTAAGGTTAAGGTCTTATATTAGATAGCTAAACATAAATGCGTGTTCATGTACTAGTAAAAAAACATCTTTAACCTTTTGTCCAATGCAGTGACTTTTCCAGTGAATCATTGAAGTATGATACTCGGCAAGAATTCAAGGTTAAATTTTAACACCATTCGATTATATGAGCTGCAGCTTAGAAGGTGTTTGAATTGAGGCCTTCCAATTGCTCAAATTAGTAGTAAAGGTACTCGAATTTGCGTGTTCAATGCCTTAAACTCTTGCAGCCATCACACCACTTCTCACTATGTACTTATGTGTGAACGGATTGCTTTGATCACTCACCTATAGTATTCATGAGAAGTACACTCCAGTCGCTTCTGTAACCGACCTTAGGAATGATGAAAAACAGCAGTGTGGAGAGATATTGGGAGCAACAAATGATTATGAATTGGAATGCCTGCGGAAATTACTGTTATTCGCAACAGCAGCTTTCTTAGCACTGACCAACTTGGCGTCAGCGATTGATTGCTGCCGATTGAAACCACCATGAGTCTTGCGATTGCGGTACACGCTAAAAAGAATAATTGCATAAGCAGTTATCATGATGAGCGGTATCGATTGTCCGGCATATTGGTTGAAGTCAAGAAATGAGAATCCCCCTAAATGATATGTTATTCCACCAAGTATTCACCCGGAATACCGAACTTACAGAATATTGTACAATTGGAACAATCGAAAGTATACGCCAGCGAGTAACGATTGTAACGTTTTTGACATCCCAATGCTGTTGAGCCGAGAGTGATGACAATCGGTAGTAACCATGATAGAATTAACAACATCTCAAAAAGATGCATTTTGATTTTGAGAAAAAAATTATTCAATATTCTTCAGCGCACTAAACAATCAATTGACATACATGCTTCTGTCAAATTACAGCCGACGTGTTCTCTATGCTTGCAGCAAACGTAATAACCAAAAGTGCATGTGTAAAATTGTTCTATCATGAAACGGTGAATGCTCATATAGCCGAAGATTTTGTTTCACTATTTCACGCCTCCAAGAATCAATAATTTCAACACATGGTGTTAAACTCTCTGACGACCATGCAGGTTATTACTCGTTTGCCTTTTGGGACCGAAGCCTCTTACGGAGCAGTTAACATTTCTTGGATCAACTTGTGCTTGCTGCGATCTACAATGTACCTACAGTAGCTTTGAAGGGCTGGTAAAGAGATTAGATTGTTCCCGCATGTAGTGCAAAGGAAAACTCCCAAAGTGAGTTTACCAAGATAAATGTCATTTCAATGAGATACAAGCCTTAACAAACCATGTTGCCAAGCACTCGCTGATGTGTTAAAGTTGAAGGATTTGGAACTTTTAGTGAAAAACCTAAATCACGTTTACTACGCTCGGATGAGAAGTTACGCACAGTTATATATGCTTGTCTTTGATTCGAATGCTGTGACTCTGCTTGGTTTTGCAGTACCCTAGGATGAAACTGATGAAAATGAGTCACCATTTCACATAGCATCACGAAAAATGCGTCTGAACGAGAAAAAAAACAGTTGTGTCTTAAATTGGATCCTAAGATGGTTGATTTTTGGTCACTTTTGGAGTCCATCATGAATGTATAATTAAGGTTCAGGTTCACTGTACACTTTGGAAGAGGGACACTTTGTGATTAGATGGTTGGCCATTAACTTATCGAAAGTGCTGCTTAGCATCTTGTTTGTCTCTCATGTAGTCCTTATCGATTGTGAAGCATGCATTACTTCAAAGGACAGCAGAGTACTCTATACTATTCAGACTATTCTAATAAGTTGCATACAGCTTTGATTCTCTCGAAACCATGAAAATTCGATTCAAGCAACAGACCAGTTTGAAAACGCATTACTCTCTCGTTTCTATTCATTTGCGCTAGGATGTCAAATTAACAATCTTACTCCAATACCGCTCATGTGGATATTTATGTATCTCTGCTTTTTAGGCATTATAACTAGTTACATTAGAACCGCTTCGGAACTCTCCTTTGGGCGTCGCTTACATATTAGTGATATGCTCTTCCTTCTTTTGTACTCGATGAGTATAGCTTGCACTCGAGAAGCGATGCATTGAAGTGTTAGCTGGCTGGCTCTCGCAACCACAAATTAAAATTCTCAACGACAGGATACTACGTTTCGCTGAAAGTTGAACTTATGACTTATAAGAATAACCAACCTGCATACAGCTTTTTCTCTCACCAAAACTGCTTGACATAAAGACCCCAAATCGATAGATTGTGAAGGTTAGCGATGATAGCAAATATGCCCAATATCCCCACGTGTTTGGAGTTGACATGGTTATCATTAGCCCATCAGATCTACATTAGTATTGCGAAGCTTTATAGTTCGTTTATTCTCTAAAGTTTTCAAAAAGGTAACTATACCTTATAAAGGGACACTCATTGATTGTGCATGGAACCGATACCCACAAGTTTGTTGAGCAGTATACTATGCCCGCTATGATCATGTTCAGCACGAAAAAAGTAAAATACTAAAACCAAAAGAATCAACTTTTCAAAAAGATATTTAGTGCAAACCTGTGATCGAAATGTGGACCTCCAATGGCATATGAATACGGTGAGCACTGCTAAATTGCTGATCACGCCAACAAGAGTGAAGAATAGGATTGTAGCTGCGATTGAGGGCCTAAAAACTGTCGGTATAAAACCAAGCACCTTTTTGGTTTTGTTTAGATCTGCGAAATTTTTGTTGATAGTTTTTGCTTCACTTCATTTGCGAAGTTCGATACCAGGAGTAAATCCAAATGGGCGACGAAGATTTTCCCTTTTTTATCGATAAAAGCCTCGCAAGTGCTTCGCACTGCACCCTCGACCATGATTGGCATTTATTATTAATGGCAGCGTTCAGGACATATGGACCTATGGGGACATCAAGTGAAGAAGATTCACATCAATACACGGTATCGTAGCTCAGGTGCTGCCAATCGACGTGAGCACCCACTGCTGTGGTTTGCCCAATCGAATGCTAATCTCTTGTTTTTGTTGGCGCCTAACAAGGGAACGATCCCAACTTAAGGTGGCGAAATGGAATAAACCGCATATCATTAGATGCGTCTTGATGCGCTGATTCTAAATCTACCTTTCTTATCTGCGACAACGTTATCTGGAAGAAGTTATGAAAGGATAAAAATGTGAAGTAACGGGGGTTGTGATGCATAATTTGCTTTAAATTCCAACTTGGAAGTGCACGACTAGCATCGTGTACTGATTTCACGGAATGCTCACATTCAAAAGAAACGCAAATAAATGTATTTGAACAGCTCAAAAGCAAATAAAGTTCTTTGTTAAAAGCTATGAGCAATGAAAAGTCCAAATTTGGCAAATATACAGCGCAATACCTTGAAAATTAGTTGTTTAAAAGCACTCATTCGTGTTTCTTAAAAGTGTGAGCATTCCTTGAAATCAGTACACTCAATATGATGCTAGTCGTGCACTTCCAAGTTGGAATTTGAAGCAAATTATGCATCAAAACCCCCGTTGCTTCACATTTTTAACCTTCCATAACTTCTTCCAGATAACATTGTCGCAGATATGGAAGGTAGATTTCGAATCAGCTCAAGATGCATCTAATGATATGCGGATCATTCGAATTCGCCACCTTAAGTTGGGATCGTTCCCTTGTAAGAGAATAAATTACATTTGACTCCGGCGTTCCAGCCGCTGAAGGAGGAAAGTTCACTGGAATGTTGGCCAAAGACGTGACAAGAATCTTGATTATTCGCTAAAGCAGTATTAACATTACCTCAACTATGCCAAGATTCAAAACAAGCAAACGTGGCAGGATATGGCAATTGTTTTTGAATGACCTAGCGCACAAATTTCATGCAATAGATTGTTACATAAGTCATGTTACACTCTGAATCATAAGTGCGATAAGGGGAGCCGGACCATTTCCAGGTAAAGGGATCTTGGCTTTACCCATCCTTGCAGGTGAAGGGGGTAAGTGAGCCCTGGAAACGAAATGCCCTAACAAGCTACATACCGTTTAAAAGCTGTGGTGACGGAGAATCGAATAACGCCCTTGACTTTCCCCCGGTATGGCCTGCAAATATGAGCGATTTTTCGGTCAATATCAACTGATCTAGTGTGCCACTTTCTGCTCTCTTATCGCACAATAAACAACAAAGCTGCGAGAAAGTTGACGGCCTACATCTATTGACGAAGGCTTGCGCTCTAATACAGATAGATAATCAGCGATAGTTAGATTTTGGGCAGAGATTTGCTGTTAAACATGGACATAATTTTAGATAAGATGGTGAGTATCTCTCGGTAGAGTGGGCTAGGAAAAAGTCACCTATGTCGAATCCTGTTTCCTAAGCTTTCAAACAATGTATAGATTGTGGGGCGAAAAAACTTGGCAGTTCTCAAAAATGGAGTGGAGATGTTTACTAATAGCTTGCTCCTCCTCGCCCCTTCAATGTATTGGCTTTTATAGGTTACCGGAGCAAAGGTTTCATGAAGCCAGGAAACGAAAGACTCCAACAGCTTATATACCGTTCGAAAGCTGAGTATGGAGAATCGACCTAGACCGTCGATTTTCTTCTACTCTTCTTAGCAGTAAGATATGATGGATTTAACCGATCGATAAATCTACTGGAAGCTTTCGCTGGCAAAAAATGCATTCAACTCTCTTTTCTTTCACAAAAAACTTACCACCAACGTAATCTCTTACTATTTACAGTCATCACTGCATAATACATTGAGCCGTTATTGAAATTTTTAGCGAGACTATTTTGCTTTCAATTAGCATTGGCAACCTGGATATAGACTTACACTAGCCGGTTTTTTCCTTCCCTTTCTTACAAGTAAAGCTACAACCAAACAAGAATCAACTATTGAAGTTTCGAAAAAATTCAAAAGTTTCTCGATTCTTATATTCCTTGATAAAGTGTTTATATTCCCATATTTTTATTTTCCAAATTTAGCTGCCTTTTTATACTACAGTATCTGTTGTAGACGCCTTTAAACTTGTGCAAAAACTACTATAATCCTTATCGTTATTTATAGAAAAGTTTTTTTCACTGAATATGTGGTTGTTGTGTTTCACAACTGACCTGCTGTTTCTTTCAATAATTTTTTGTAATTCACTCTCAAATCACTCCCAGATTAACCTCAGGTTAAGGGGAGTCATCTAGGTACTGGCTCAAACATCAGAGGGTAAGATCCATTGCTTTCCCTATCGCAACTAGCTAACGGTGATTACTCAAACACTTCATGTTTTCAATAATCAATAGGGCTTGTTTTTAATAGGGCTTCAAGGTGCCTTATGGGAGAGCAAAGCAAACTCTACAAGATGGCTCATGCAGGCTCGCAATAGTTTATATTTTTTTCAAACAATTTTATATCCTTGTTCAAAAACATCTTACATCTCAAAATCTCCCACTAGCTCACAAAAATACAAAACGAAGCTATGCTGTTTTCACTACAAGCCTTCAGATGTAGTCTTCACACCTAGACATTCACTATACCGTTGCTGTATTTTTTACTCAGCTAGTGAATCGAGGAAATCGAGATTTCGCACTTGTGCAAAAACGAAGTTATGCTGTTCACGCAGGTAACTGTTTACTACAAGCTTCCAGAATTATAACCGTAACCTCAGCTTTTCATAAGCCCTTGTTTTCGAGAAATGTTGACTTAAGCATGGAAACCCGAATGAGGAGAGCCGTAATTTTCCACTTTCACACAAACGCTAGTTTTCGAGTTATACCAAATCTAGCTCTCCTCATTCGGGTTTCCATGCTTAAGTCAACATTTCTCGAAAACAAGGGCTTATGAAAAGCTGAGATTACGGTTATAATTCTGGAAGCTTGTAGTAAACAGTTACCTGCGTGAACAGCATAACTTCGTTTTTGCACAAGTGCGAAATCTCGATTTCCTCGATTCACTAGCTGAGTAAAAAATACAGCAACGGTATAGTGAATGTCTAGGTGTGAAGACTATTTCTGTAAGCTAGTGGAAGATGCGTAGAATTTTTCTGAACAAAAATATGAAATTTCTTTTTTTTGAGCATTGAGTGCGATTTAGATTTCGGCTACAAACTACCTGCGGCGAATCGAAGCAAGTGCGAACCTGCACATGCCATCTTGTAGTGCTTGCTTTGTTGCTCTATCAAATGGTACTTGAAGCCCTATTGGGATATGAAGTGTAGAACTTATCGCTGTAAGTAGTCAGTGTAACAAGACTTATGTAACTAGCTAACATATATGCAACCTCCATTCTCACTTGATCTGGCATAAAATAGAGAATTTTTTATAAAACAAATCTCCTCTGCTTTTCTACTCACAGCCAACAATGCGCAGATGATCATTTGGAGCAGAATACTTTCCAAATCCTCAGACAGTTTTGAAAGCTGATAGGCACTTCGTTTACGATATTCAGCTAATTTAAGCAAAACGGTCCAGCATGGGAACTGATTTACCAACTACTGTTAGGAGCTTCCCTTAGAGTTAGTATTCGTGCAAATGAATAAACAAGAGTATACATGAAGCCTGCAAACTTACTTCAAAGTGGTGACTCAAGTAAGTTAAACTAGCTTAACCATCAATTCATTTATGATCGTGGGTCATAGTGGCCAAAAAGAAGAGTGACTGCGTGCGAACTGAAGGTCTCTTTCGAAGTAAAAGAACGCTATAGCCCTTCTCTCTTGTTTTGGTAGGACATTGCCCTCAGTACCAAGAGACACTTGAAAAGACGATATATAGCAAACGAGGGAGATAGTCTCCGTTTCCCTATTTGTCCTTCCTTTTAACAGCTTAGATTCAAGAACGGCTTACCTACTGTCAAGTACTACCTAACCGCAATGGAATGTGGAGATTGCAAATAGCAAAATAAAACTTTGTCTGATTTAAAGTGGTCAATGAATTGACGTACCTGCTAGAGTCAGGAACTCTTTTAGCGTTGGCCAAGCATTCGTCTACATCGGATAGTACCATAATCTAAAGAGAAAGTTTTTGCGATGCAATTACCACGTTTGTTGCCATTGGCAGCGGATGAACAATAAACACTAATTTGTAACTGTTCCAACAAAATGCGAAAAAGGCACTTGAGAACTGATGTAGTGAGTGCAATAGGACTTTTGTTACACAAGCGCTTTAATTAGAGCGATGTTAAGGTTTGAAAGCATGTATACACGGTCATGCTCAAAGCTAGTAGTCGTAAATGGAAAACTTCCGTAAGCATTATGCCCTACAGAAGCGGTTCGTGGAAGACCAAAAAACAACATTGATTTAGTGGAGTATTAATCATTTGTTTAGCTTCATCGTTGTTATTACGGTATAATTTAAATTATACCACAGAAAGGAAACGAGGGAGTGGCTCACTGCACTTCTCAGTCTATCATTTATTTTCATTCGTCTCAAAATAGAGTGGAATTTCGGACAATATGGGTAACATGTTGGTATTGAAGCTCTGAAAGTATAAGGGCTAGGAATACAAAGTATATTTGTGATGACTTCCGCGGTGATAGAAGTGAACTTTACTTTTGCCAGGCTTACACTCTTACATTCTTCATTTCAGAAGTGAGCATTCAAAATGCAACAAATGATAGATAAGTTGAAAAAAAACATTATTCAAGATTTTTCTTGAACAAGCTTCGATAATTTTCTTAAGGACTGTAGGCAGCATAGTGGGGCCAAATAAAATCTGGTGAATCGGCCAAATTTTGAAATGCTTTATTACTTACAAATTGAAGATAGCTATAACAGATTATTATTGTGGTGGAAAGGCAGAATAATACGGTTGTTAATCGGCACAAACAAATAGAAACAAAACAGCGGAAAAAAGAAAAACTACATTTTTTTGTTCGGGTTGTTATCGAGTTGGATGTGCATAGGATGTTCTGGAGTGCGAACATACTTGCAGACAATCTGGACGGGTAGATTAACTGACGTTTTTGAGCTCGTTATTCAGAAAGAGTAGGTGTATAAACTACATCGGATGCATGTGCAAGCACATTTTAGTCTTAATTATAAACATGATAGTTTTCCGAAGGAATAAACATCAACTAACCTTACAACCTAATATCGTGAGCAAAGCAAACTGTATAAGATGGCATACAAAATTTTTATAAAGTTGTTACACTTTCACTAAGTTCTCATCCAAAAACAAACATTTTTCGTAGCCTCAGAAATCACTATCAGTCCAAAAAATTCATGAGCTTGAAGTCAAACTCTTGAAGTTCTTACAAACATTTTCATAAATCAAAAAATAATTTACTTAATTAATTGATTTACTGAAATTCTAGGTGGCAATTTTTGAATACTTGCAGTCAATTAGCCTTTCGGCTAATTAACTGCAAGTTGCAGCTACGGAAAAATCGTAGTTAGCTACGGAAAAATCGTAGCAAGCGCATGTATAACTGAGCAATTCTGAGAAAATATGCGTGAAGATTCGCAGAATTTTTGAACAGATTCGCTTTTTAAGCTAGCAATGTTCAGCTTTCAACTTCATGCATCAAGAATTTGTGATTTGAAATTTGTGCGAGTATTCAAGGCCTTCTTGCGTGGATAATTTTGCTCCATTGTTAAGTCGACCCAGGCCCTGACTGGACAAATACGATATAGATGAAAAGCGTCAGTATGAAAAGTTTTGTGAGAATCCTATTGTTTGTGGAATTAATAAACTTAACTCTTCGCATGAAGGACTCGACCAGGAGCATGATACGCCAACGAAAATGGAAATCATATGGAAGAGTTGCAACACAAAAACTTGAGAATCAGAAAACTTATGTTTGCGAAGCAAAAACAAGTAAATAAGGTGCCATTATGGAGTTGTATATGTACATGTAAAAATTCTCTCAAGAGTAACTTGTGAAAAGTAAATCACATAATTTATTGTAACCATTCGTCAGAAAAAGCACTGTTCAAAATTCAATTTATAAGACAGCCAACATCATAACATATGTCACTTAGATCAAAAAACAGAATGCTTGATAGAAATAATTTCTTTCTTCATTCTTAGAGCAAAATTTTGTTATAACGTCACATGCCGGAAGCACATGGTTATGAAAGTTAGAGTAAAATGCTTGACAAAGGGTACCTAACAAGCACTGACCCTTTAAGTTCAGCCAAACTGCTCTGCGTACGCGATGGCCTATGCCGCTACGCCACACGGTATCACCCCAAAAACAACTGCCTATTGCGCAGCTGGACAAAAGATTGAATAAATACTGAGCAAACAACTATCACGCATGCCATGAAATCGAAACCGTACCGCTTAGCATCAAGTAACGGGTAGTTATGATACTTCCAAACAATGCGCTCGGCAAACAATGCGCAAAACACTATTTGATGTTGAGGAGGATTTATTCCGGCAGAATGAGGTACGCAGATTTCGTAGTTGTTTTGATAATCTTTGAAAAAAATTTCTGAAACGTTACTCGAGAAGCGCCTCCATCTAGCTACAGCACGCAGAAAATGTCGAGGTTATAACTAGTTTCTTTATTGTTAGTACGGAATAACCAACCGAGAACCAGGTAGAGATGTTTGTCTCATGAATCAAAGGTTTTTTCTAGAAAAAAGTTTTCTTCGGCAAAGCTTTATATTGGATCTATCACATCACGCTTTTGGTTACCGTATTCCACTTATCTATACGAGAATGCCATATGTTCGAGATTTTGAAAAGAAAACACGATGATTTTTTTGGCTAGAAAAAAGCAAAACCTTTTTACACATATAGCATCAAATGAAATTGTCTGAAAAGGGACACATATGATTTACCCCAGGGGTGTAAGTTTGTAAGAAGAACGACTATAAATACTCTGGCCAATCAAGATTTGAAGCACCGCGGTGCTTTCATGTCACTGAATAATAAAAACAATTGACTAGGATTTTATAGAACGCCTTTATTGCTATTTCTATTAAAAACTTAGCTTAAAACAGTCACGTTTTATGGCGGAATGCCGCAAAGATGATTCGTTTTTTTCTTTCATAGGCCATTTACAGTGGCGGTCCCAGGATTTCCGTACAGCGGGGGAAGGGAGAAGGAAGGGGCAAAAAGTTTTCTTGAATGAAGGTGAGTGGAGTTAGCCACGTACTCCGAAAATTTTTTGGGGCGCTTCTCATGATTTTCGCGGACCCATAACCCCTAAAATTCAGAAGACCCCCGAAAAGATTGATGTGACTTTTAAAAATTCTCAAGAATTGTTTTTTACAAGAATAAACAAGTCTCATGCACATTTTTATAACCCAAGCAAGTCAATTTCAAAAATTTTGCGACTCACTCTCGGGTGGGGAGGGTCCTCCTTCCCCCTGGGCCCACCACTGGCCATCTATCATACTTGTACAAAAGATTTTTTCTACCGTAAAATCCTTCTGAAAGCAGCACAAAAGCGCAATTTTATCTCCTGTAGCTTCTTCGGCTTTACTATAACAAGAGAATCTTTGATCTTTGGCCATCTAGACTTACACACCTGAAAACAGGCGGCTAGTTGAACATTCAAACTCCTTTATGAATGTTTCGCAAATAAAGAGTATTGAAAGATTCGAGTGAAGTGTCAGGTCAGGAAATTTTTTGGATAGTTTCAACATTTTCAAAGTAAGGATAACAGTAAATCTCTGGGAACAATCATTTGAAGAGCATTTTGAAAAAGTTCAGCAGATGACCTAGTTTTGGAAAGAAGGTTATAATCAACAGATTAGGATTCACATTTTCGCAGTCTATCTACGAATTGTTTGCAGAAAAGAGGGATTGCAGAGAGAATAAAAAAATTTTCTTGGGTTTTGACAGCCATTTCAAAAGATTACGTCAAGACTTAAAGTGTGCAATAGTTATGAAGGTGACATTCAAGTTTCAGAGTTTCTAGAATCGCACTAACATATGTTATTTAAGAAGGTCTAAGGTTATCAGCACTTGTTTTTCAGATGAATCTAAAGATGCTCTCGAGCGTAATGCCTCTTCATAGAATTACTCAAGCACAAATCCCACATAATAATGAGCACGAGCCCTGCTTCACTTTGGAAACTTTACACTTTACTACCATTCCCACGGTGGAGGGATTATGTCAACAAATTCTTGCAGAGATTGAAAGAACAAACAGGTGTTGCTTCATAAATAGAGCTTACAATACCACCCGTAATTTGTGAAAAAAAAATTGGCGGCGGCACTTAAACGCGGCACCGCCGCAGTTAGGTGACAAGCGCCGCGTCGCGCGACAAAGTTAGGCGGAAAAGCGGCACTTGCCGCTTAACTTTGTCGCGCAACGCCTAACTTTTTTATAAAATAGACCTTATCTTGATTCAAAATCCATGAATTCTATATACAGTAACCGCCAAAAAGTTGCGGACAAGCCGCCTTCCTTTTTTCATCGCTCATTTTCGGATGGAAAACAAAGATGAAAAAATGACTGAATTGCATGAGGTGATAGAGCTCTTCAAGAGTTACAACCCACACATTGCGCTTCCTGGAAAATGTTTGTTATAAAAATTTCAAAAATCTTTTCCTAAAAAAAGTTCGAAAATGGCAGCGTCACAATGTTGCGAACATTAATTCTCGAACGCGAAAAAATTTTTTTAGGTCTTTTCTTGGAGCAAAAACAGAAGTTTTACGAACAGGTAAGCATACTATGTTGTAGAGCTCATCAAGAACAACAATCGGGTAGTGGTTACTTCCAAAAAAACCCAAGCTTGAATTTTATTTTGCTTTTTTTTCAAAAAAACTTCTAATTCCCTTTTTAGGCCAAATTTCTTTACATGGGAACCTATTCAAGATATCCAAACAAAGCTAATTGGATAAAATAAAGGCTTTTTGACATCTTCTTTGCATCCGATGTGTGCTATTGAGTTTCTTTGCTGAAAATGATTCTTGACAGTGAGTGCACATGATCCCACCTGCACCTTACCACTGACTTGCACCGCTTTGCAGGCTTGTAGCTCGGCCGGCAGTCAATCTACGAGACTGCAAGTAGGCTCATTCGAAAGATCGTGAGTTCCTCGAC